ACCCCCACCACCACCCCCCGAGTGGCGGCGGCTCCCTGTATCAGGCCGCCTGCCGGGAGCTTGGTCGGTGCTGCGAATAGGAGCGCGCACGCGCGCGGGCCATGCGGCGCACTGGCGCCCCCGTGTGGCGGCGGTGGGAACCCCCGGCCTTGAGGACGGACGGACGCTTGGGAGTCTGGAGCGTGTCCTTCCTAGTGATAGAGGCCGGTGGACCTCAGAGAGCCCATTGGGGTGAGTGTCTGAGGGAGTGTCAGCTCGAGGACATGTGACAGTCTGAGGGTGTGAAAGCCCCCTAACAAGAACAGGTCCATCTGGAACACGTGGTCACCTGAAATCCAGAGCAGTGAGCTCCCCAAGGTTAGGACAAGTTCTGACTAACACTGTGCATGGCATACAGCAGGTGCTCAGTAAATGCTTGTGGAGTGAGTGGATAAGTTCATGAGCCATCCGTATGTGCATGGGGTTGGAAGCGGTGCCCCGAATCAGTAGACAGATGCTCATAATGTGCAGCTACACTGACTGGGCCAGTGAGTCCCACCCTTAGAAAGGGCCCACTCCCAGGGACAGTAGAGACGCCTCTAAAGGCCCGAATCCAACCCCAGTCACTCGTCGGTGGGACAGAGGGGCAGAGGGTGGCTCAGGCTTCATGTATCCCCTGAAGGTCCTCGGCAGGCCTCCTCCTGGGGTCTGGAAGCTTCCGGTCAGGGCGACCTGTCCACCCTGCCTCCTGCCTCGCAGGTCAGGCAGAACAGAGTTAGGGGTGGAGGTGGGGGCTAAATGCCCAGCCTGACCACGGACCTCCCCCAAAGTCTCCCGAATGTGACCTGCAGGTGCCTGGAGAGGAATGGAAGCTGGGGCTGCTCGTGGTGGGATCGCAGACAGGGTGGGGGGCGTGATGGGGAAGAGGCAAGGAACCCCGAGAAGGCCTGTGGGTGCAGGCGCTGGGCTTGAGCACTGTGCACTCGCTCCCTGCCCCCTGCTGCCCCAGGCCCCCGCCACATGGGCTAGGCTAGGGGCTGAGGCTGGGGAGGGGGTCCAGGCCAGGCTCGCAGCCCACAGGCAGTGTGGCGGCCTCACTGGGTGGGATGTGGTGGGTCATGTAGCGCTTCCCCTTGAAGGATCCAATCCGCTGCTGTTCAGGGGCCTCCTCTGGCCACCAAAGGCCGGAGCTGGATGGAGAGAGGAGGAGAAGGCACTGTGTCCCTGTCAGGTGAAGGCCTGCATCACCCTCCCCAGCGCGCTTCCCCTTGAAGGATCCAATCCGCTGCTGTTCAGGGGCCTCCTCTGGCCACCAAAGGCAGGAGCTGGATGGAGAGAGGAGGAGAAGGCACTGTGTCCCTGTCAGGTGGAGGCCTGCATCACCCTCCCCAGTTCCCTCATCCTGCATCTCACCTTCCTCCCATCTAGAACCAGCTGGAGGCCCGCCTTCTCGAGGCAGCTGCCCTGACTACCCTGGCCTCAGTTCACTAAAATGACAGAAGGCTCAGGGGGAGAAGACAAGTCCTGGGAGGAGAAGGGAGCCGGAGAACAGGGCCAAAGTGAAGGGGCCCTCCCTGCACCTGTCCTCAGAGGAGCTGCAGGATCACTTTGCTGACCTCCCAGGTGAGAGATACTTAGTCCAGGCCTAGAGACAGTGAGAGGGAGGGGGGTCCAGGTGGGAGAGGGGCCCCCCCACTCACAAGTGCATGGTGGAGGCTGCCAGGAAGGCCAGGAGCAGGAGGCCGGCCAGAGAAGAGAGGATGGAGGTGATGACGACCATGCCACCACTTCGCCGCCCTGGCCATGTGTCGATGGAGCCTGGAGCCTTCCCTGCACACACAGTGGCTGCTCAGAGGCTGCCCTTGACCCCAGGGCTGGCTGTTACATTCCTCCCTCCCCACGCATGCTCACCCCTCAAGGCCTGGCTGCCTCATGGCCCGGGACAGCCTCCTGAGCCCCCCATCTGTCCATCTTAGTCATCTGTGCTCCGCCAGCCTGGACCACCCATCACTATGACCTCTGCGCTGATCTCACCTTCCAGGCTGTTGCCACCCATGCACCCAACCACTGCCCCGCACATGGCAGGCAGAATGGCTGCAGACCTGAAGACTGACCTTGTCACTGCCCAAGACATCAAGGCCCCCACCCTTCCTATACCCCTCCCCACAGCGCATCTCCCAGGCACCCTCACACCTGACACTCTGGCCTTTGCATGTGCGGTTTCCTCGGACTGGAGAACTATGCATGCCCATGGGCCTGCTCAGAGCAGTCTCCCAGAACCTGCTGCCCCACCAGCCAGCCCTGACGCTGGCTCCAGCCTCCTTCAGCCTGGACCATCTCCCCCCACGCAGCAGAAGTTGGCATGGGGCTGGCTCCCAGTAGGAGGGAGAGGCTATTTCTGTCCACAACTGGGCTGGGGCCTGGGCACCCAAGGTTGGCAAATGCCTGGGGGTGGACAGAGCTGGGGCCCCTGCTGGTGTGGCTGACCAGTGCCCCACTCCCTGCACAAGGTTATATCGGGGGTTGGGCTGGACTTGGACACCGCCTACAGGCCCCAGCCCCATGGGAGCAGAGGAAGGGTCCGCTGAGCATGACCCTTGTGCAGAGGGTGACGAGGCTGGGGTAGACTGGAGCCAGAGCGCCCCTCTCCCCCAGTGCTACCTTGGCAGAGAGTGATGGGGTCCGACCACTTGGTCTCAGCCTTAGGTGAGCCACTCGCATCCATCAGGAGGAACTTCACACTGGGACAGGAGGCAGTGGGGTAGGAGGTGTGAGACTCAGAGGCCTGGACTGCCCTGGGCAGGGTACCCCCCACAGCCAGGCTGTGGGCCCTTTCCCTGTATGGGGAGTGTGGGACCCTCAGGACCCACCATGGCCTGGCCTTGCTCTGAGAATGCTCTGAGACCTCCCTGGCCCTGTGACCCGCGCCAGCAGCCCCATTCCATCTGGGCTACTCCTCCCCAGACACCTGACCTGGGCCAGGGCACACTGGTGTAGGGGCCCCAGTTACTCAGTGTCATACACAGAAAGGAGGTGAAGGTGGAGAGTAAAGGCCCAGAGGCAGGAGGGGCAGGCAGAGCACTGAGGCACTGAGAGCCATGGAGGGGCTCTGACTGTATTTTGCTGGGTGGGAACTCTGGGAAGTCTGTGCCCAAGGGACCCAGCTGGCTGGCCTTGAGGGAAGCAGCTCTGTGGCTGCTGGGGATGGGGCAGGGACGTGAGGCTGGAAGCCAAGCCAGGGTGTGGCTGCAGGGGAGGCAGGAAGGTGGGCCAGACGAGTGGGTGAGAGGGCAGAGGGAGTCTGGGTGGACCGAGGTGCTGCTCCAGCCAGCACACACCCTGCATTCTCCGTACCCCTGACCACCTGGCTCTCCCTGAAAACACCTGGCCTCCTCCTGGGGCCTGGCAGCTCTGATCTGGACACCAAGGAGATACCTGTTTTCCCATCTGGCTCCACCCTGACCTTGGCACTCTGTGCCTCAGTTTCTTCATCTGTAAAAGGGGGCAGGAGCCATCTCTACTGCTTTCCCCACCTTATACACAACCAACTGGCTCTGAACTCAGCCCCCAGGCTGTTTCCTGCCATAGCGGCCTGAGGGAGGGACCATTGGGCCATGCAACCCTGAGCTGCCCCCTCCCACCTTAACTAAGATCCGGACTCTCCTGGGCCTCCTCCTCTCTGTCTGCTCCCCCCACCCCCTGCGAGCTCTGTTGCCCAACCCTACAGAGGAATAAACTAAAGCTTGTGAAGGGGAGGGGTATGCACCAGCCTGCAGGCAGGAAGGCAGTGTGCTCTGAGCTCTGGTCCAAGAAACCCCTCCCCACAAGCACAGCCCAACCCCAGGGCCCAGGAGGGATGACCCACCTGTAAGGTCCGGGGCCGGGGAGGGGGGCATTGCAGTAGGGCTGCTGATGGCAGCCGAAGTCATTGCCCACCCGCAGCACGGGGGCGCCTCCGCTGCCGCCCACGGGTTCCTCACAGGGCAGCTGGTTCAGGGACAGGGGCAGCGTCATATAGTGGCCATCGGTTAGCAGCTGTGGGAAGGCTGGGATCTCAGCCAGTGTCTGTGGGTTCTGGAAACCCCTGGAGGCTGCAGGATGGAGAAACAGAGTGGGGTGTGGGGTGTGAGGGGAGGGAAAGGCCTTGTCCCACTGACCAGGGTTCAGGTCCTCAGCCGCCCTCCACCCACCTTGCCTTGGCCCAGCCCTGAACCTCTATACCATCCCCTCTGTCAGGGCCCAGAAAGTCCACACACAATCAGACTTGGTCACCCTCTAAGAACCCCCTCAGGGTAAAGGCCAACTCCCAATCTACACCCACCCTCCAAAGGCCCCCAGAAGCGCTCAACAATTGAAGGTGCCGGTGAGGGGCTCTCCTCGGGCCCCCTCACCAGACCCCAGACCTGCACCACGCACCATTGCTGAGGGCCACCACAAGCCAGATGGTGTCAGTGGCGCCGGCACGCCCATCCAGGACACAGCGCGGCTGCTCCAGGGAGAACGTAGTGGCCGTGACCTTTCCTTCCAGGTCCCAGGCTGTTATCTGCGGCGTGTAGGGGATCAGCTCTGTGGCCGTGGGGACAAAGGTAAGTGGTGGGGGCCATGGAGATTGTCGTGACTGTCCTGCGAGCCCCCTGCCACTAGAGGGGTGCGGCTCTCAGGGTCCAACCACTGCAGCAGGTGCATCCACCCCAGGACCCCCACTCACCCAGGCTCAGGCTGGGCCACAGCCAGCTCAGCACCACAAGGAGCAGCAGCCACAGCTGTGGGTGAAGCTGGCTCCAGGGGAGCCCCATGCCAGGCACCAAGCACTCCAGTCACGGGGAGGCTCCGGTGCTGGTCTGGCTGCCTCCTGCTGCACCCCACCCCTAACACCTTGGGCCTGGAGGAGCCGGTTCCTCAGCCTGCCGGGCTGGCCTAGGGCTGGAAAGACCTGAAAATACCAAGGCGTGCACACCTACCCCTCCCAGCAGCCAGCCCACCACAGGGAGGGCTCTGTGTCAGACCCCACCTCTGGGGCTGAGGGATGGGGGCCACTGCCCCAGATGCTGGCCAAGCCACTTGAGTCCAACATCTGGATTGGGCCCCACCCAGCCTCCCAGCCCTGGGGAGGACAGTGCAGCCTCTGGAAATGGGCTCAGGGCCACGTGCCTGAGATTCCTACACCCCAGGTGCCAGGAGTCTCTCTCTGGCCTTCCAACCCCACCCAGGGAGTGGGAGTGGGGAGCAGAGAGCAGGACAGCCCAAATCTGCCCAACCCCAGCCCCATCGCAGCCCCCTGGCCCTGCTGCCCTCTGTGCCCCATCCCCCATGAGGCCATATCCTCCCTAGCTTGCGGTCTCCTCCTCAGTTCCCTTGTCCAAAGGAAGATCTGGGACTCCCTTGACAGCTGACAAACCCTCCACTTACATTACTCCCTTTGGTTCTCACTCTATGTACATCATTTTTTGATTCACATACCATAAAATTCACAGCTCAGTGGTTTTCAGTTGTCAGGAGGTTGCACAGGTTCTGATTCTAGAAACTTTCCATCTCCCCAAAAAGAAATATTGTACCCATGAAAGTCACTCCCCATCCCCCTCTCCCCTAGCAACTATGAATCTACTTTCTGTCTGCATGGATTTGCCTGTAAAGGGCGTCTCATAGAAATGGAATCACGCAGCATGGAGCTTTCCACGTCTGACTTTTTTGACCTGGCAGTTTGCAAAGTCTGTCCGTGTTGTGGCATGCGTCAGGGCTTCCCTCCTCTTCAGGACCAAGCAATATTCCATCATATGGATGGGCCACATTTTGCTTATTGATTCAACTGATGGCTACTGGGGTTGTTTTCACTCTTTGGCTATTAGCAATAACGCTGCCATGGACACTATGTACAGGCCTTTGTCTGGACATATTTTCAGTCCCCTTGGGTGCATACCTAGGAGTGGGATTGCTGAGTCATAAGGCAACTCTGCTTTTCCCCCATCTTCCAAAACGGCTGCATTTCACATTCCCACCAGCAGTGGATGAGGGTCCAGTTTCCCCACATCCTCTCCAGCACTGGTTATTTTGTTTGATCACAGCCATCCTGCTGGGTGTGAGGTGGTGTTTCATGGTTTTGATTTGCATTTTCCTAATGACTAAAGACACTGAGCATCTTTTCATGTGCTTGTTGGCCATTTGTGTATCTTCCTTGGAAAAATGTCTGTCAAGTCCTTTGCTCATTTTTTAATTGGGCTCTTTTTGTTGTTGAGTTTGTTTTTTTTTTTTTGTCTTTTGTCTGTTTTTTCCGTGTCCGGCAACGGATCGCAACCCTCAGTGTTGCCCCCGTACCGGACCAGGGACCGGCAACGGGATTGCAACCCTCGGCGCTGCCCCCGCGCCCCGCTCAGCCAGTGAGAGGGCACAGGCCTCCATGTGGGAGCCGAACC